CTGTTGACAGAGGAAAAAGGATGCCGCACTAGGAGGAGACTCTATGGTGGGGGAACCGGACTTCCTGTTGACAGAGGAAAAAGGATGCCGCACTAGGAGGAGACTCTATGGTGGGGGAACCGGACTTCCTGTTGACAGAGGAAAAAGGATGCCGCACTAGGAGGAGACTCTATGGTGGGGGAACCGGACTTCCTGTTGACAGAGGAAAAAGGATGCCGCGCTAGGAGGAGACTCTATGGTGCGGGAACCGGACTTCCTGTTGACAGAGGAAAAAGGATGCCGCGCTAGGAGGAGACTCTATAGTGGGGGAACCGGACTTCCGGTCGACTCCAGAATTGAACGGGGGCTTTCAGTTAGGACCTTTGTGGCTCTTTGAGTATTTAAGGTTGCTGACCCCTAGTCTATGGAAAAGACTCCAGCAGCTCTCCACCAGCAATCAGCCCCCACATCAGCATAGATGAACTCCAAGGTTAGCATCAGACCAACAAAAAAGTGAACAATATCCCAATCTAGAAACTGCCAAAATGCCCACAGCAAACAGCCCAAAGAATCTCTAAGATTACCTCCACCCACACTAACAGGACAAGAATATAAGCAAACTGTACTCCTTACTAGCACTGATGATATTACCTAGTTGGGTAATGAAACGTCTGCAAGAAAGCAGCCAAGTTCAGAGAGCACCAAGGATTCCATAGCCATTCCTCATCGTCGTCGCTGTCGTTCTCCTCCTCCCGGAAAATCCCTGCTTACTAGCATGATGGTGTTACCTAGTTTGGCTAATGTAAGGTCTGCAAGAAAACAACCAAGCTCAGAGAATATTAAGGACCCCACAGTCATTGTTCCTCCTCCTCCCTGCACACCCCACTCCCTTTAGCACTGATGATGTTCCCTAGTTGGGTCATGAAGTGTCTGCAAGAAAACAACCAAGCTCAGAGAGCATCAAGGACCCCATAGTCTTTCTCCTCCTCCTTTCCCTCCTCTCCACACACCCAACTCCCTTCTAGCACTGATGACGTTCCCTAGTTGGGTCATGAAACATCGGCAAGAAAACAGCCAACTTCAGAGAGCAACAAGGATCCCTCATGTCAACCCTGAGCCTCAAATATCTTCTTTTATTAATCTTCGTTGCACATAATATTTGAACGCTCCCATCAATCCTTTTGTCAGCATTCCAAATATCACCCAGAATTAAATCAGAGTCCAAGGCAGAGCTTTCGTCAAAGTTCCAATTTAATAAGAGAGACATGTTGGCACATCTGTGGAAAATCCGAATCTGAAAGCTTCCTGGGTTTCCCACCCAGTTGAAAGGTCATGATTGCCCCCAACCCATAAGTCCATCACACGGTCCAATCTTCCTCTGCCACGCTGGCATTTCCACCCATCTAGTTCCGGTCAGGTGCAGAGTTGCGGAGACAAAGAATGACCTTGGGCTTCTAGAAAGGAATGTTTTATTTTGACAACAACACATTCTGCTCCTTACTATTCCCCCCTCTCAATTACCCCACTAATGAAACAGTATAGTAAAGAAAGAGAGAGTGTGGCAGGCCAAAGATCCTAAAAGAAATATGACTGCAGGCCTGACAGGCGGCCTCTCCTCAGAAGGAATATGACTGCAGGCCTGACACCTGTTTCTTTTGGTGTTGGGCAGGATATGCTGGCCTTGCAGATCATCGATCTCTTCAAGAACATATTTCAGCTGGTGGGCCTCGACCTGTACGTCTTTCCCTACAGAGTAGTGGCTACTGCTCCTGGGGTGAGTATCGGGAGGAAGGGCGAGTTTTTACTGATCCACATGTTATACTTTTGCTCTGTGCATAGATATGCATTGGACAGATTAAGCAAAATTTAACTTTAGACAACATGGGCCTTAGATATGTATAATCAATACTGTAAATGCAATATTTAAAATGCAAGCAGTTAAAAAAAACTCTCGGCTTAAAATTAATTTTTTTGTACAGGTCGTCCTCAACTTACGACCACAATTGGGCCCAGAATTAATATTGCTCAGTGAGAAATTCGTTAAGCGAGATTTGCCCCCTTTTACGACTTTTCTTGCCACATTTGTTAACCAAATCACCGCAGTGGTTAAGTTAGTAGTAACACAGTCGTTAAGTGAATCTGGCTTCCCCACAAAGAGGATCCCGGGACTGCAGGACACTAAGATCGTCATAAATACAAGTCAGTTGCCAAATGTCTGTATTTGGATCACATGACCCATGGCGATGCGACAATGGTCGTAAGTGTCAAAAATGTTCCATTGGCTAAAAATATAGCAGAGAAAATGTATATTTGATTATCCATTTAATAACTCCAGCTAGAATTGTGTTTGCGCAAAACTGGAAAAGTGATCCCTACAGAGGAGAATGGGGATTAGGAGAATATTAGAATGTGCAGAAATGAACGGATTAACACTGGCAATCAAAGAGAAAGAACGAACTGATTATTATATAAATGGGAATAATTTTACCGATGGGTAGAGAATAAATATAAGAATTAGAAATGAAGGTAAATGAGTAAAATATAGAAAATGTGTTAATAGAGTTAATAGAGTTAAATAAATCAAGAAGAGGGTTGTGTTTATATATTGATGGTATTAATAATTACATTTTAATACATATCTTTCATATTAATGATTTAAACATACTGTACATCCTCCTTTTAAAGGTATACATATATATAGCAATTT